TTTTTTTTTTTTTTTTTTTTTTTTTTTTTTTTTTTTTTTTTTTTTTTTTTTTTTTTTTTTTTTTTTTTTTTTTTTGGGTTATATATATATATATATTGATTTATTTATATAAACATGTATTTATATATATAAATATATATGATCAGGTTATATTAATATATATCAGCATATATATACATATATTTATATATATCAAGGGTGTGAGATACCAGAGTGCGGAAGGCGAGGGAGATGAGGACGACGAGGGCGATGGCGGAAGGCGAGGGAGATGAGGACGACGAGGGCGATGGCGGAAGGCGAGGGAGATGAGGACGACGAGGGCGATGGCGGAAGGCGAGGGAGATGAGGACGACGAGGGCGATGGCGGAAGGCGAGGGAGATGAGGACGACGAGGGCGATGGCGGAAGGCGAGGGAGATGAGGACGACGAGGGCGATGGCGGAAGGCGAGGGAGATGAGGACGACGAGGGCGATGGCGGAAGGCGAGGGAGATGAGGACGACGAGGGCGATGGCGGAAGGCGAGGGAGATGAGGACGACGAGGGCGATGGCGGAAGGCGAGGGAGATGAGGACGACGAGGGCGATGGCGGAAGGCGAGGGAGATGAGGACGACGAGGGCGATGGCGGAAGGCGAGGGAGATGAGGACGACGAGGGCGATGGCGGAAGGCGAGGGAGATGAGGACGACGAGGGCGATGGCGGAAGGCGAGGGAGATGAGGACGACGAGGGCGATGGCGGAAGGCGAGGGAGATGAGGACGACGAGGGCGATGGCGGAAGGCGAGGGAGATGAGGACGACGAGGGCGATGGCGGAAGGCGAGGGAGATGAGGACGACGAGGGCGATGGCGGAAGGCGAGGGAGATGAGGACGACGAGGGCGATGGCGGAAGGCGAGGGAGATGAGGACGACGAGGGCGATGGCGGAAGGCGAGGGAGATGAGGACGACGAGGGCGATGGCGGAAGGCGAGGGAGATGAGGACGACGAGGGCGATGGCGGAAGGCGAGGGAGATGAGGACGACGAGGGCGATGGCGGAAGGCGAGGGAGATGAGGACGACGAGGGCGATGGCGGAAGGCGAGGGAGATGAGGACGACGAGGGCGATGGCGGAAGGCGAGGGAGATGAGGACGACGAGCAGACGAGCAGGACGAGCAGACGAGCAGACGAAGATGAAGACGAAGCAGACGAGCGGAGGGACGAAGATGAAGCAGAGGACGGCTGAAGGAGATCAACCCAGTAAGATGATCCAACTAGGTACGTTTTGAACCCTAACCCTAGAGGTGTAGCTCTGATACCATGAAGCTTGGGTAACCAGCTTGGGGAATGATAGAATATCACCCCCTATTTATAGATTAAGATTAGGGTTTACAAGAAATGCAATTACAAGATGATCCCCCTGAGTGCTATCCCTGAGTGCATAAAATGATTACAGACAGACCCTAGTGTATCTTTCGGCTACCTTTCGGCTAATATAATATCACTTAATATAATATGCTAACAGTAACAACAATAACAAATAAAGAGAGAAGAAGAAAGAACAATAGAAGAAAAGGAAGGTTATTTTTGTCTTTTTAATTTCGTCATTGCAACCATCCATTTGAGAAATTCTATTCCCACACCACAAAAAGCTCAGTACACACTATTTATGCCGTTCAGATATAAACTTCCAAATAAAAGTTAAATGAACGGACAAAAACTACCAAATCAAAAATAGTTATTTAGATATAAACTATTGAACAGAATGTATATATGAACAATTCATTTTTGTTCGAAAATTTATGTCCAAACATTTGACTTTTGTTCAGTGTGTACTGCGATTTTCTATGGTATAAGAATAGAACCACCCTATCCATTTTTACATATTGGTATTAACCGCAGGGGAGTTCATTGTCACAAATCAAAGTTCAAGGGGCATCATGTTTTTTGCCTAAAAACAAACGGGGTAAACTGTAATTTAACCATACATATATATAAGTATATACATCAATCATCACAATACAAGGATTTCTCATCTTCAAATTAGGACAAGAACATATAATCATTCGAGCATCATGATGAATAGTTCTATTCAGTTAATATACATAAATAAACATAAATGAAATGAGAGCGCAAAAGGGCGAAGAGATTACCCTTCCAGATGCACACAGTTGATAAAAACAGTGATAATTCCTCTCAGGATCTGTTATCTGAACTACACGGGATCGTTCCAGCAGATAAGTTCTAATTGCAGCACCAGATATTCTACCATTTGCATCAAACTGGATCTCAACAAACTTGCCGAATCGACTACAAGAGCAAACTAAGAAGTTAAAAACTAAGCAAGAATGATTCTCTTTTAAAAGCAAGATGTCAAGTGCCAACCCTGTTAAGCAAATCAACATAATATCACCAAACTGCATAAGTTAGTATTAAACCAAATTTATTCATTTATGCAGGGGAACATAAATGCAATCGCAACAAGGCATAGGCAAAATAAAGATACTAACGTTTTTTGCCTAGAGAGCACTGTCATGGTTTTAAATACAAGCCTAGTTGTAGCGAATTGGATTTTGGAGCCACTGAGTCAGTTACACCTAGTATACTGGCTTGCATAGAAAACCACTTGCGGTACATATGAGCCTGAACTGATTATTTCGTGGTACCCATTGTTACTTGCTCCAGTACTAAATCAAAATATTGATCCTTAGCTCTTACCGCTGCTGAAGTTACTTGACTTAGTTACCTCCTCCTAAATGTTCTCAACCCTTTACACAATCCTACAACTACATTACGTGATAACTGAAGTGCCATCTTCATGTCAGCAAATCCAATTTTCCATGCCCGCACCAAACACATAGCTCCTCATTATCACTCCATCCGCAAAAAAGCAGTTGCTGGTTTATTAAGATTTCAATTTGTGACTTCCAAACTTCAAATTGCTAAGTTATTTACTAAAACTTTGTTGAAGTCTCACTTCTCCTTTCTCAGTTCCAAGCTCAGTGTGTCGTCTTGTCGATCACTTCCACACTTTGCTTGTGGGGGTTTGTAAAAGATACAAATCCTTGAGATTCACATGCCACAGAAAAACTCCACTAAATCTGTTATGTTCATTCATCCTTTTGCAAAATGCAAGACTATGAAAGGTTCCATATAAAGAGTATTTCTACTAGCATATCCCTCTAATTATGTAATAGCAATTTCTGTCATCTTGCCAGTATTCTGTAACGTTCATTTGTACAGTTGTATCTTTGAAAATATCTATACATACAAAGAGTTCCTTGGGCTGTGTTTATTGAGAAAACAAAATACCAAATTCTTAGCATCCTGTAATCTTGTTTTTTTTAAACTCATTTAGTAAGACATGCCAAACACCAAGGACCAAGAGGGCAGCAACAAGAGAGGTGAAGCTGTCCGACTAAGAGAGAGAGGAAGCGGAGTACAAGATCTCAAGTACGGAGCTTAGGACTCAAGGATGACCTCTCAAGTAGATGACGTACAAGTAACTTTAAATGCAAGACAACCATTGTTAGGAAGGTTGTTAAGATTTGGCCTAAGGCAGCAATATATACAGAGTATCACGCCAGGTGAAACTTTTGCCTCTAGCCTCCAAGCCACTATAACTCCAGGTCCCATGGTGCATGTCAAAGTCATCAGCATGCCCAAGTCCTGCCACTTGGCTTAAGCACTTGAGTAGTGCATTGATGGCTAGACTGCCATTGTTAAGAAGGCAAACAGAATCACTATCACAGCAACAGGACCCGCAGTGAACTACTACAGTAAAGAGCCTCATGGTGAACTCCGTGACACCAAAGCAAACTTGACATTTTGCAAAGCCTAAAAGTTTTTTAGTATCACTGGTTACAAAGGCAGTATATGTGTCCCTTAGAGCCTAACACGTGTCGGTCTTATGCAAACGTGTTAGTCGCGCATCATTGCCCATGTGCCCACAACACATGTCGGTGTAGGAGATACATGCATCAAAATCACAAAATGATACAACTTGATTAAGTGAAGGCAGAAATGCTGCTAGCGACAAGTAGTGATTCTGGTAGGAAGTGAAGGTGGTCATTCTAGAAGGGTGACACTGAGGTTCAATTAGGCTGTGTGCGCGAGCTCGTGCATGCATGCATGAGTGTGTGTGTGTGTGTGTGTGTGTGTGAGAGAGAGAGAGAGAGAGAATCTTAAGGAATGACTTTTTTTTCCTTTTTTATTTTGGGTTGAAGTGTTGATACAAATTGATGACAAGGCAGGTATGGGATCTAGATGCCCAACTACAGGTGTAAATGGAGTCTACTTAATATTGAAACTTCAACAGTACACTTAAAAGTAACCCAAAAAAACACCACAAAAAAAAAAAAAAAAAAAAAAAAAAAAACAACAACAACAACAAAGATTTTATTTACAAATTTTATTTACATCAATCATTCATCCTCGCTTGAGGCAAGGTTTTTTTCGGCAACCCCCTCGTCTAGAGGTCTCTAGGCCATATCGTCTTCATCTATTCTCACATTGCTGAAGTCCAAGTCTGGGAACAGCTCTTCTGCTTTACGCTTAAAAGTCTTCCAGTTGCTATCCCAGAACTTAGCCATCTTATGCTTGTAGAAGTTCGACCGCTGGAAGCTCTGGATCACTTCCTCTTCACTCCTACTTCCAGCGGTCGCTCCCGACAGGCCAGCCCCCCTATCCCCCTCTCTCGCCAAGCTGCTGGCTATAGCGGCATCAATGGCTATTTGAAAGTCGGTGGACCCCTTGAACTGCTCTACCGCTGCAACACATAGGTCGGGGTACGCCGCCCTCTCAGATGCCAACTTTGCCCTCTCCTCTTCCAAGGTCTTCTCCAACCCTACCTTCTCAGCCACTGCCTTGGCCCTCTCGTTCGCCAGCACCCTCTCCAACTCAGTGATCTTCTGATCTGCTTCTTCTTTTTCTTTGATCGACTGAGCACGTAGATCTTTATTACAAACCCTGGCCTCAACCCATCTTTCGTTGGCAACGGTGCAAGCTTTCAGGGCCTCTTCCAACTTCTTCTGCTCACTAGCCAACTGGAACTTGAGCGACACCACCTTGCGGCGTTCCGTCTCCAGCTCTAACTTGGTCGCGAGCAGCTCTGCATTCGCACGGTCTGCTGAATAGCCCTGAACCATTGCCAACACCTCCATCTTCCTAGCGTTCTGGACATACTCCAGCCCCCTGACACACGCACTCGGCGCAACTTTCCTCCAGCCCCCGGTCTCCCTCCTTAAACTTTCAAGCTGGGCCTTCACCTCCTCCAGCTTTGCCTCCAGTGACTTAACTTCGCCTTTTGCGCGCGTCGCTTTGTTCAGTAAAGCTGCTACTAAGGTCGTCGCCTCCATCTGGGCCGAGCACAGCCCCCTTAGAAGTTCGGCCTCTGTGAAACTTGCCATCGAACGCACGGCCGCGTCCTCTACTACCCCCAAAAGTCGATCGGCAGCAGTCCTGGCTTCGCCTCCTTCTCCCTTCAGTCGCCCGGACACTGCTAGAGCGTGGTAAATGGCAGTCTTCAACCTGGCCCTCTCTCCTTCTCCTTGGGGCTCAGGACCCCCCTTGGGCTGTTGCTCTGCCCCCTGCTCAGGGCCAATCGCCCCACCTTCTACTTGTGTTTCGGGGCCCAGGGCACTCTCCATCCCTTTTGCTGCCCCCTCTAACTCCTCTTCGGGGTCTCCTCTGTCATCTCCTCCTTCATCTTTTTCAACGCTGGCCCCTCCTTACCCTTGTCCACCATCTTCTTCTTCCTCCTCTTCAACGCAGCCTCCACCTCCTTGTTACCTCTTTCCTTCAATAGATCCACTGGGGGCGGTCATGGCTCAAAACCACCCAAGTCCTTTTCCCCTAGTGGCTTGCGGCGCGGTCGGATTCTTTTCCTAGCGATCGGTTTTGGAGGACGGCCTAACTGTGACTCTTTGTACTTATTAGCCTTGGCAAAAATCGTCTCATCCTCCGCCTTCTGCGCCCTCCTCCTCGCTTCCAATTCTGCTGGTGCAAGGTCCCCACCGATCGGCTGTGGTCCCAACCCGAGGCAAATAAGGCTAAGGGTTGAACGAGGTCGTCCCACTTGGCACCCTCCTTCTCCCTCCATGCCTTCACCTTCTTCACCCTCTCCTCTACCTCCGCCTCCAACCTTGGCTCCACTGACTTGGTTGGCACCCTCCATACTGTGCGCACTCTTATTCCCCCATTGGCTGACACGTAAAACCACTGTGGCCTCCACCCCTTCACCGATGATGGTAATCCCGCCACCAACCCTTTCCCGGGTGCCGCCTGTAGAGTGACCCAAGTCTCTTGCTGGCCCGACGCCTTGTAGCATGCAAAAAACTCATCCACCTTCATTGTAGCTCCGTCGTTCGCCCGCAGCCACGCACTTGCTCAAGCCAATAAAATCTTCCACGTGTTGGGCATCAATTGACCCGGAGCCACCTCCAACCGACCCAGCATGTCCACTACTATCCGGGGGAGTGGCAACGTCAACCCCCACTTTAACGCTTCTTCGTAGAGGGCAAACTCCCCCGGTCGAGCATCGGATGGCCTCTCCTTTGATGTCGGCAGTTTTAACTCTATTTCCGCGGAAATCTGATACTTCCCGCGCACCTCCTCCAACTCCTCCGCTGTAAAGTTTGATTTGTCGGCCTTCGTATACCAGTGGTCTGGCTCTACTTAACTGATTGGCTTCACAGCTGCTATCAATGTGGACGAACGGGGTTGCCCCGTTGGTTCCCCTTCACTTCCTACTCGCCTCTCCGTCCTGTATTGCTCCGCCAGGTTTACCGCGTCGTCGTCCCCCAACGTATCTAGTCTCATGGTGGGCACATCCTCTCGAGCCATCTCTTTGGTATGCTTGTGTATGGCTTCAGACGCTGGTACAAGGTAGTTCGCAAAATATTGCAAAGGTGTATTACTCGACACAAAAGAGTTTACTTTTGGAATGTTTTGGTTTTTTGAAAAAAGATAGGTAAAGCGGATAACATCAAAAGCCCAAGACTTGCCTGTATTCCAAGGGTCACGATTAAATTTTGCCAGTTTAAAAATTTTCAAAAATCTGCCAAAGCTGTATTTTCAACGCCCTATGCTAACCTACCCCTTCGTTTCTTGCCCAACGCCTAACCTCCCCCATTATGGGATTCCGCCACATGTACGACTACGATGCACTACCTCCTTCTCCTATCCTGTCTTTTCCACTTCAAATCACCATGTGCCCTACCACTCATCGAGCCCGCGTACCGCCACTTCTCCCTCCACTCGATTACCCTTCGCGGTCGGCCCTTCTCACAGTCGGTCCCTCCACTCGGTCGACCCTCCTCGCGGTCGGCCTTCCTCACGGTCGGTCCCTCCACTCGGTCACCCTTCGCGGTCGGCCCTCCTCACGGTCGGTCCCTCTAGTGGGTCACCCCTCGCGGTTAGCCCTCCTCATAGCCGGTCCCTCCACTGGGTCCCCCCTCGCCATCGGCTCACCTCTCGGTCGGTCTTCGCCCTGCCGGTATCTTACAACCCTCGTTTTCTTCATTATTCCCTTTGTTGGATTAAAGCTGCACTTGGGAATGAAGGACTACTAACATGGGTAAGTCCATAAAGGATATGGCCTACCACCTAAGGTCCAATCCATGATTCAAATACTAAAGCCCAACACTCGTGAACCCAGCGTTGCACCAAACACCAATGACATCTAAACACTTGGCAAATAGAGAATCACCCACATCAGCAGACAAAGATCCTGCAAAGTTATTGCACCACACATCAGTCATTAATGAGCTTTCCTGCAGCATTTATTGCGATAACCCTTCCCCGTCGGGACAGAACGGCCTCAACAAAAATCCTGCAAAGTTATTACACCACACATCAGCCATTAATGAGCTTTCCTGCAGCATTTATTGCGATAACCCTTACCATGAACAAGGTAAGCTAGAGCATAGACTTTCGGC